TTTCCGATGAAGTCCATTAAAAATGTACTTATATTAAGAAGTGGTCTATCCAAAGCTATGACTTATATTTGTGAAACAGGGTTTCAGTCTTTGACTTGTTTAACCCTTTGAAAGCCAAAACGCCCGACACGTCCTTTCATTCAAACACCACAAACGCCTGAATTGGCCGAGATTTCGATGTTGTTTCCTTCCCTTCCCCTAAAGTATACAGTAACAGCTGTAGTTTCCCCAAATGCACTGTATCAGTTTATTGCAGACAGTTTGTCTTAAAAGGCTAACAGTTTGCTTAAAAGATAGTTTCTTTATTAGAAAGTAGAAAGGATGTCATTCAAAATCTTCACAATTCTTTGTGCATTAATGGACGGGGAAGGGAGGAAACGGAAGGGACGTGTAATGGACGGGCCGGGCATTTCAGTATTTTAAGCGTACAGGTTAGCGAAGACTTCGGTTTTATAAGGATTAAATAATATTAAAATTATTAAAAGAATATTAAAATTATGTTTTTGATTATAAAACACTGAATTTTCATAATGGAATTAGCTTTGGGTATTATTGTACAAAAATATACTGTAGGTCTGTGGGAGACAGTAACATTTACACATTGTTGACCTTTAACACATTGTTGGCGAACGGGCTAAATCGACATTCTTAGTGTTGTTGCCAAGATCTAAAGAATAATGTTTGTGATAGCCAATTTTTGCGCCGTTGTCACCATCTTCTCTTTTAGAATGCTCGTAATTTTTTCATTATCTTCTTCAATATCAATAAGAAATAAATAAATTACCCTAATGCAGACATACAATATTACACTATGCCATAAAAATACCAAACTGTTTAAACTTAGATCATCCTTCGCCAAACAATAATGCGACCACCTGAAATTGTATTACTGTCATATACAAAAACGACCTAACATCAAATGAAATTAAGTTCTATTTACGATTGATTTCATAAATAAAAGCTTGTGTTTTAAATCTTTCATTAAACTTTGCAGAAAGTTGTATAGCTTTCAAGCCTAGATTTCTTTTTAAAAAAAATTAAGTAAAAGCGTTGCTTCTATGGACGATGGCTTCTTTTCTTTTCTTGGCTAGAATTCTGTTTCCTTCTTTTTTGAATCTCTTTATAAAACTGAAACGTGTTGAAAGTACTCAGTTCAAGTTTTTAGCAATTCGCTTCACAGATTTACAATTTTTGAAATGAAAAATAGCTAATTTTCTAACTTCATTTAACATTTCTTAATGCCAAGTTGTTACAGAACGCACTAAATTTAAATTTATTTGCATAAGACATTTTCAAACATTACGTAAAGTTATATTTAAATTATTGCTATAATTTCGAAACAAAAATTTAGAATAAAAACTTTAATTAAAGCCTAAATTCTTTGGAAAATATTGGAGTCCTAAAACTTTTCGTGGAGTTTTATTTTTTCTCATTGTTAAATTATTGTTAAATTGTTAATTGAATGAATTTCGTATGATATTATAAGAAATAGAATAAAGATATTATTTAGAGAACACATTAAAAAAGTTATAATTTGACCTATGCATATTGCTATTTTTATTATGCCCTCCTCAATAAAAGATATTATTTAAATAAAATAGTATAAAGATAGAATAATATTATGGAATAAGCATAATAATAATAGAATAAAGATAGTTTTGAAAGAACACAGGTTAAAAATATAAATTTTAATCATGTGTTTAAATTTTACTGCAGCCCCTGAATTAAAGATTATTTAAACGATAGAATAAGGATCTAATATTATAATAGAAAAGTATTATAAGATAGAGAAAAATAATTATAGAATAAAGTAGAATAATTATAATAGAAAACTACTATAGAATAAAGATAAGAATAATAGAATAAACATATTTTGTAAAGAATGAAATTTACAAAATTCCATTTTAAACTTATACATGTTATTATTTTTACTGCAGAGTCCCAGATCTCGATGTATCTTATTAAATGATTAATTAGTTTTCTTTTAGTAGAACTACCTGAAAATTTTTTTAAGTTACTTATGTTTTTAATATTTGAAAATTGCTCCTGCTTATTGAAGTTACCAATTTGTACTTGTGGACTAATTTGGTACTTTAGCCACTGTTCTATATGATTGCACCCATTACATTCAGACGGTTTTTGAGCGCTGAATGCACAGGCTACTAAGTCATGAAGCGCACATTAAATTTCGATAAAGTACCTGATCTAAACTAAAAGCGTGGAATATTGTTAATGAGACAGAAAATTTTCTTAGATAAACAGAAAATTCCAGATAATGGCAATAATATTTTTGGAGGAAATCTTAACGTTTAGGATTATTCAAATAATCTAACAAATTTAAGAGTGCTTTATAAAAAATTATACAGCTAAGCAAATAACTATTTCGCTGTTTTGCATTCTGCTATATCAATTCGCTTGCTGTATCCATTTGTTCCTTGCAAAGAAATGCTGCGAAGATGAAATTTGCAAATACAACGAAACCTGGCGAGCCGTTTTGATAGAGGAGTATAATAAATAATAAATTACTTCAGGTAACTACAGCTGGTATCTTTTGATACTTAATCTGGATTCTCAAGAAAGATTGTTTTTTCTCGAAATTTGTTTCTTTTGTACTAATTTAAATTTTGTAATTTACAAATAATAAATTAATTGTAAAATTTGTAACGGTTTTGTAAAAAGTTAAATATAAATATTTGGTCTTTAGTTTTCAATCTTACATAACATTCTGCGTATTCTTAGTGCACTGTCCTATTACTGCTGGATCACTTACGGCTGGTCGCCACTCACTGTGACCGCAACAAGATGACGCCTCAGGGACTGGCGACAGCCTTTGGTCCGGTACTGATGTGCCACGCAGAGACTCCCACTGCGACTGTTGACATACGAAAACCCATAGACATCATGAGTTTTTTGGTCAAAATGTGGCCCAACAAGAGAAGTAAGTTTCTTTTGCAATCTTTTTTAAGTGCAGTGTCATAAACAAATCATTATACGTAATTTTTTGTTCATGTTATAAAAAAACCTAAATATGTTCGAAACTTATAAATTTATCAGATTTAATGTTTGACGTTAAAAGGACGCTAAATTTGCTCATTAGTTTTAGTCATATGCATAAACTCCTTGGGTTTAGCAATTCAGAAATATCTGAATTGAAAATTGCAAAATAATAATTTTTTTTTTCATATTAAATTTACCGTTTTTAACCTTTCCATATGAAAAGCATTGAAAACACTCTTCGAAAAAGTTAGTCACATGCTAACAAAGTTTCAAAACCGTGGAATAAAAACGTTATATTTTTAAAAACGAATAAACAAAATAATTTTAAATTTCTTGAAATACGTTATGTTCGGAAAACCATAACGTGAAACTATGTTACATATCTGTAGTCAACTAATTACGAAATAAAAAAATAATTCATACTCTTGCAGTCATTTTTATCAAATAAGAATTATACCAGAAAAAGGGAAAGAAAGTATTACCACTAAATAAATAAAATCAAAAAAGAAAGGAAACAAAATGAGAAATAAAAATAAATAAATAAGCAATGAAAAAATTAAACAGTCGTAATAAATACATTTTAAGAAATAAGCGTTTTTAATTTAGAATTTTGCTTTAATTTAGATCTTTCGAAATATCAGGGAACAGAAAAAAAAAACTTTTGAGTCTGTCTTTTCATTTATATAACCATAATTTTAAATCCTAATACACCTTTCAACACCTGCATCCTATTGTGATGTATTTCCATAGCAACCACTTAAATGTCAGATAAAATCTGAATGGTCATGAGCATAATATTTTACACATTGTACTTCTACAGTATTTTCCCCCTTATATACGAAGATTATGTTATTTATAGATTAAGGCCGAATAACAGTAGCTTCTTCTCCCATTTAATAGTTAATATTATGATGTGTTGTAATATAATCAGATTTGATCCTTGACAGTCTCATTAAGCACTTTTTGTTGCTATGTTTACATTTAAATTTTATTCAATTTTTTTTTCTTTTATAAACATTTCTTAAATAAATATTTACTCTTATATGTTCTTTTTATTTATTTAAAATCTTTATTATTTAAAAATATAATAATCGTTTCTAGATTTCCAACAACTTAGAAAACAATACTAACCTCTTACTGTTATTTAGGTGCATAGCACTTTTATACTTATTACGTGCTTAAATCTATAGGAAATATAAAACGTAAAGTTAATTGATATCATATTTTTCTATTGAACTTAAGTAAAAGAATAAAGTTTAATACCAGCTTTAAAAATTAAGCATTTGGTTGACGATAAAATTTTGGAAAATTAATTAGCAGATAAATTAATTTACTCAGCTCTTCAAAAATGTTTTTTATACCGCTTAATATAAAATCGAGTAAACCTCGATATTTTGCATTTAAATACACTATAAATATTCTATTCAAGATACATATATATTATATATGGTAATAGATATGATTAATGCTTTTAATAACAAAAGCTATTGATATTTGTTAACAGCAGAAACACAGGTCTTAGCACAAAGTAGCTGGATGAGTTAATTTTATACGATTGCCATGGATGGCGTAAATGTTTGAAAGATTTAAAACAGGTGTTCATTAAATAAGAATGATGTGCCGTTTGTAATGATAAAATCAGAATTATCTCGCTAAACATGATTCTAATATTGATAATTTTCGATTTTTATAACGTTTCAGAATCTTATTTACAGGTTGCATAGTTGATTTTAAGATGAGAAACTAACTCTTTAGCATAGAAAATGACATAAATGATATTTTAATAAACTAAAGATTATAAAACAAGCTGAAATAATCATCGTGTCCTGTTAAAATGAGAGTTCATTCTGTTGCTCTACAAATGCGACATCAGATTTAAATATTTATAGATTCCAGTGATGTCCTTAAAAATTAACCTTTATCAAGGAATCAAGTTTTGTGGTCTTTTCACGAAGTTTATCAGCTATTATGACATTAGACTCAGGTGTTAGAAACACTTATCAGCAGGCACCCGGGTTATAAAAACCACATCCTGTGTAGAACTCGTACGAAAAAGGCATATCTTTTTCTATCCTAACATGACAAAGTTCGTAATTGAGATTAAAAAAAGGATCATGGAAGGTAATAAGAGTTACTTCTATGGAATTAAATTAAGATAGATATTAAGCTGGATGAGATACAGCATAACTGAGTTAATTTGCATAATTGCAAAAACTTATGTGGCAAAGCTTTCTATCAGATGGCGTATGACATTAGAATGACATTCTAGAAATGCGTTAAGATAGGAAAAATTAACTTTTATATTCTGAGAGGAAGAGAAAACATTTTCTATGTCTGAGAAATGTGTAACATAAGAGCACTGCAGTATCTGGCATATTTAGAATTTTCATTCTGTGAAAGAACCTAGCGATCAGCATTTACATGGTAAACGTTATCCAGTTATTGTGCGATGTTGGAAAACCTGGTACTCGCCAACTACAATTATGTGAATGTGCGGTCTCAATCGCTCATGTAAGACAGAGAAAAACTCGTTATTAGTATTCTAGAGCCTCTTACTGTTACAACAATTAATTGAAAAGGGAGTAACGTTTCCCTAATCAGATAACTGCGTTATTTATTTCTTAACTGTCAGCCCTGGAGTCCATATTTAAGCAATTTGTATACAGACTATTTTGACAGTTTTCAATAGATCAGATGTGTTATGACTTTGCTTGGTTTACCATTTACTGCGTACTAATCACGGCAGTTACATTGAACACTTCTTCTGTTTTATATTAGTATCTTTAAGATGACTCTTAGCAAAGCAATATTTTCATATCATATTACCTGCGTTGAATTATATCAGTTGATTAATAAAATTTGTAAGGAAATGTAGCATTTGTCCTGGGAACACTCTTGTAGTATAATAGTTTTTAGACCTAGTTAGTTACGGAAAGACTTATGGTTCAGCTCTCTGTAAATCCACACTCTGATTTTCCTATCTCACCTTTCTGCAGTTTTCGGCACCGAAATGAAGTTGTATTTAACTCGCTGCAACTTGGATCTGACCAACTTAAGTCTTATTCTGCTGATCATTCGTCTTTGAAATGCGAGAAATAGCAAGGGATAATAGCATTACTACCATGCGTAACATTTTGATGTAGTAATCATTACATTTAACTAGAGAATGGAAAATAGGGCCTAGTTGATTTTCATTTTTCCTTTCTGGGAAAAAAAACCTACTACTACTGTAGAATAGATAAATCCGTGGTTTGATTCATGCTGAAGGCCTCTTCATACTGAGGGTTTTTCATTTTTCCCTTTCTGGGAGGAAAAAAAACCTAATACTGTAGAATATAGAATAAACAAAAAGTTACTTAACGAGTTTTGGAATCTGATGTGGCTGTCTCTTAATACCTAAGTACTAAACGTATTTACAACGTATCATACTTAACTATAACTTCATCTGTTAATCGCCTTTGATTGCATATAAAACGAAAGAACATATGTAATCTTGCAAAAACAACAATTACTGTGTTTTGAAAGTTAGGTATAAAAATTATATGTAAGCAAAACAATTAAGCCTCGTTATGTAACAGAAGTATTTGGATGTAACCGAACTATTTTATCGAACGCCATCTAGTGGCGACGAGAACAACTTCGAGCAGTCAATCTCCATCTGCGATGAGGATAGACTGTCCAGTGTTATGTCTCCGGTCTGGATATCATCACACTGTGGCGTTTATGGAAATAATAAGGCAGATTTGTTGGAAAAGAAAAGGACCAATATTCTCCAAATAACTGACAACCACATCCTTTTCTTACATTGCCAAACGAGTAATAAAAAATTACTATAAAGAAGTTTTTTGGAAAGACATTACGGGAAGGAACAATCATAAAGTATGGATTAGCAGACTTTTTTACACTCTTTTATGGTCCAGAAAGAAATCTTTTGCTATCTTTTGTCTTGCTACTGTCCATGATTGCCTTTTAAAGCATCTGCATTGAATGAACATTATCCCAACTCCAATTTGTAAATTGTGCAAACTTCACAAGGAAATGGATGCCTCACATCTAAGTCGTTGCCCTGCATTTATTGCTGATAACTCTGGGAGAGATATCAGGAGGCGAGACACAAAATAGGTTTATCGATTATAATGTGAATTTGATGTGTGTAGTTTTGATGGTCTCTTCCATTTTTGCTTGTTCTATATACAGCTGTCTTTGTAATCTGCTGTTAGAAAATTTAAAATCAAATTATGTCTTCGTGACTCTAACGTTAATTCTAAATGTTAGTTGTTCCGTTTTGGTCTATGTTCTGTTCTGATGTATATTTTCTTGTTAGTAAGTACTTTTAAAGCTAGCCGGCGTTTATGTTTATAGGAGAATGGTTACAGTTGCAGAAAAAAAGATTTGTTGTATCTTATTGTCTTTCATATTCATTCCTTCTTCGCGTTGCTTTATCATATAAGCAAAGGAGGATTATAATATCCATTACAAAAGCCCGTTTTAACTCAATAAAATATAGGATTTTCTCATAAGATGCAAAACGTTCTTCTACATGCATCACCTCATTAACTTTTCCGTCGTCTTCCACTTTCTCATTCTCAAGTTCTTCAGTCTTTTCTTATATCAGTACAACATTTTCAATATTCCTAGCAGGTGATCATTATCAACCTCTCTCACGTATTCGTCAATATCACCAATAGTAGTTACCTCTCAGCCTGGAATTTCCTTTATTCAGTCTACTAAGCTATCATTTCCTGTGTTTTCTTAGTTTTCTTTGACTTTACTTTTTAACTTTTCAATCCTCTAACAAACTGATAATCAAAATAAAATTGTATTTCTACAACAGATGCTGCTGTCTTAGCAGATGTTCCTGCTGGTAGGTCAAATGTACAACTTAAACTGTTATAATGCTGTTCATTAAACGTACTTGATATGAACGCTTAGAACCGCTCT